ATTATCTGCGAAATGGTGTATTGAAAAATTTCTTTCAGTCTGAAGATCCGCAAGTGATGATGGAAAGCACTGCACAAGTCACAGCATTGGTATCCATCTTAATACGTCGACATGAAATATTCTTTCCTCCCACCGAGGATGAACATCATTATACTAGAGATATTGCCAAGTGAGTAACTGCAAAATRCTTAATCTTACACTGACAAATAACAGTATCTACAAAATTAAGTAGGTGTATTCTAAACATGYAGTCCACAGGGTTTGTTCTTCTCTCTGTGAGAAGCCCTTTTGTGATTAAAAGTTAAGTGTACTTGAAAAGTCATGGAATGTTGTGTTGTGGTGACAATAATATCTGCACAAACTCCACTTCTTCAATCAAAAACAACTGTGCAAAAGCCATTTGTGCCACGCAACAAAATTTGCAGTTGAAAAAATCTATAAAAATTGACTGCATTCAGACTTGTTGTTTGATAAAGTTAACTGTTAAAAGTGTGTTTCTTTTGCAGTGGTACATCTGATCAAACACAGACTGGTCTACTCATAGATTTGGAACAAGATACAAGCTTGCCAGCAAACTATGATCCCAAATCACCATCTGGGAACTTCAKTGGCGATGATATGTTTAGTTCTGTTAYGACCAGAAATGGACCAGTTACTGACAGTAAGTATAATGTGTCAAAATTTCATTTATTGGATACTACCAGGAACTGTGCCTTTACTTTTATTATGAACAGTGCTGTGAGTGCGTTCACACCATCCAGTGGTGTTGTAAATTTTAGACAGACAACAACTCTAGCTCATTGTCCTTTCTGAGGACAAGGCACTTAAAGAGTTAAAGAATCCCAACCAACCACAATACAATGCGTTTACATGTGTCAAGCATACAATATATATTATTATTATAGACTGATAGTACCTGTGAGGTACTTAGTTAAAGGTATTTCTGTACAAACTGAAAGGATGGAAGACGATTTGCGCTCACTTTGAAATCCTAAGAATCTGACATTTTCATGTCCACCTAAAATGGTGCTTCAGCTCGCAAGGTACACCAGTTGGTTGTGATTCTTTAAGTCAAGTGTCTTGACTAAGGATATAGCATTTAAGTTCCTGTTGAATTGGCTGGTACAAGGCCAGCATTTTCAGGGAATGAGTGACATGGAAAAGCTAAGCAAACTCAACTCAGTTGATTTATAAACAGTAAACTTAAGTAACTTGACCAGAAAAAAAAACTAGATACCTTTTTTTAATTATAGGCCAAACTCCTGAGATGCAACTCGAAGAATTAGAAAATGAAACACGACTTCAACAACAACAAATCGAAGATCTAAAAACGAAACTTGAGGGTGAAAGAAAAGTCAGAGAAATGTTATTGATTCGATTGAATGATGAAAAACGAGCAAGGTAACTTGCGTGCATGTATGCATATGAAAGTAAATATATTTGACAGACAAAAACTATATCCTTGTATTYATGTTTGAGGGCATTTTYGCTGCTCTTTTACATGGAACCTCCATTTCTATTTTTCCTCTCCACACTTTGTACCTTTGTAATTCAAATAGTTTGCAAAAAACTACACACAGTCAGGCATAAGTAGTTATTGTTCAATTATATTTTTTTCTTGTATATGTAGAGAAGCTGCTGAAGAAAGACTTCGAAAGATGAACGAAGCAATAGATGAATTCAATGCAAAACATGGTGGATTTTCATTTTAAATAATGTAATATATATCACTTTTTATCATTGCAGGCAACAAACCTGTCCAAATTTAATCAGAAACTTTGTATCTGCAAGTTGTTTTGTTTTTTTAATTATAAGTTGTATTCAAAGGCATACAGGAATTTGAAAATGGCCTATAGAGTGGAAATACTTGCAGATACAAATGTCAGTTATGGTACATTAATGTAGAATATATTATTGCGAATGTKCAATTCATGGTAAAATATTGAGATAATTTTTGTATACAGCTCATATGCTTATATGAACTTTGAAATTACAAAAAAATACTTCAAAACCTTACAACCATTGAATTATAAATGTGCATTTTATACGTCAAAATAACATTACAATTTTTGGTATTTATGATGAATACATCCATTATTAGGATGTTTACCACTAGATATTTCACTGTCAAACATAATTTAGCTGTTTCTATATTACCACAAAAGTAGTATGGACTGCAGCAGTGAAATTTCAAACCTTCAGGAGTTGAAATTGATGTAGAAAGTGTGAAAATCATTATACCTTTAAAAGTTTTCAACGTTGTCATCCTGTTCAAAATGTCAATTTTTGCTTCGGCTTTTCAGTACTTTTGATCAAAGTTTTATTAMTTGTACTGAAATGAGCTAACAAAATGTCTCTTCACAAGGATAACACAAATTTAAATCTATTATCTTTTGGAAAATCATCTAAATAATTGCTGCAGAAATTGCCAGTATGRACAGGCCTTTTATTATGTTCTCCAACCCAGCATGCTGCACAAACTTTTTTTGCTGTTTCAGGATTCCTGTGCCTTTGCCTTAATGTAGAAAAAAATCAAAACAATAAATAGTGACAGCAAAGGATTGGAAACTGTCAGTTCATGTAAGAACTAAATATTATATAACCATGCCTATCAAATAGATTTTTATGTGGTCATAAATACAGTAAACTTGATTAGAAAATGTTTATTTCACCTTTTCAAAAAAAAAAGACATATATATTGATTATATAATTTATAATAAACTCATTGGCTGAAGTAGAGAAAAGTCACGCCATATTAATGTCTAATGATATGTCATCTGCAGTTGTCTTGTGTTGTTCCTAATCTATGTCTGAACATCATACTGCTCTTTTTATAGTGACCTCTGGAGAGAAACAACCTCTAAAGAGCACTCTTAATGAACTTTTCAGAGAGTTTTTTTTTAGAAATTCTTCCCCTTGTACTTATAAACTACTGAAAAATATTCTTTCAGATTCACTTAAATTTTCTGATTTAAAACAGGTATGACATGACACAGATAAGAAATATTCTTACAAACATGATTTCATTCCAGGTCTGCTTCCATAATTTTTGCAACAAGTTCCAGCTATAGTGTTGATGGTTGCTACAGTTGCAACATAAATTCAGATACATTTTCCACAGAACTATGCTGTTTTCCTTGCCAGTATAATGCTCAACACCTTATTGTCAACATAATATATGTTTTAACATAACGGTTCCATAAATTAAGACAATAATATCGATATATAAACATAAATCTGAGAACATTTATGTTAGAGTATTGGTAACTATATACATGCATTTTAAATAAGTACAAAGCTTATATTATTATCATTTTTTATTGTAACTCAAGACTGACATTATTTGAAACCTATAAATGCCTTCAGATTGCAAAAACATGTCAGTTGCTGTTTTATATTAAATATGTTTGTTATTAATCTAATTTTGTATGCTGCTACACTGAYGGCAGATTAGAGTCATGGCTACTACTGTTGCCTTGATGATGACTTGATGGCGATGAACCCTAAAATACACAATACATTGTTAAACAACTGTCTCATGCACTAGAACACCAAATAAGTACAGATAAATTATCTTCATCACAGTTCCCAGTCTGTCATCTTGAAAGTTCTGCATCTTTGCAGCAAGACAGACTGAACCAGTGTGCATGCAATTATAGATATTTTAATGTCTTAAACCGCTAAAGGTTCTTATGACTGCACRTTAAACCAGACAGCTCTTTCCCTGTAAAGGATAACATCTATAGCATAAGGAATTGTGAAGAAGACTTGGCTCACCCATCATGTAAACCAAGATTGCATGATTAGCAACATATGTCTAGTGTACATGTATAAACTTACTTGATGATGTCCTGCTGGTCCATTTTGGAAAGGTGTTAAATTTGTGATATGGGGCATCATGGATATTGAAGTTTTCTTACTAGCTTTACTTCCTTTGTAGCTTTTTCCTGCCATATTAAAAAAAAACACATTAACTATTATGCCCTCAGGTTATGAATCAYGGTTATTCATCAGTAGTTATTATTTTTTCATCTTCATCACATTTGCTTTGTAACATGTCTATAAAACGAAAACTCACCTTCAATTCCATGCAGGTCTGGTAAATGTGGAAGCTCATTTTCACTTCTTAATCTGTCCCTAAATACTTCTTTGTCTCTCTTTTTCTTGGAACTAGATTCTAAACTTGGCCGTGAATCCTGCCATGATCCTATATCACTATGCCGACCACTTAAGTCATAATTACTAAAAGTTCTAGTATCATAGTTTATATCTGAGTTTAAATAGTGCGATTGATGTTGACTTGATCCAGTTGATTTTTTATTATATCCTACAGTTTGTTTCTTTGACCTTGTGTTGTCAGCTGTTACTCTAAAATAATAATAATACAGAACTTCCATTTAATACACTTGTTTTATTGTCACAATAATAAGTTATGTCGTATTGGCAAAATTAAGATCTTTTATCATAAGGCTGGAAAAATTTTGCTGTGAAGTTTTTGTAGAAAAAAAAATAAACATAAACATGATGTACGAACAATTGTTTTCTCTTTTCTTTTTTCTTTTTTTTCCCTTTTTTTTWAGTCCTAGCATCCCTTTTCTGATAATTTCTTCCTTTCCATTGTTTGTAGATGAGAAGAATCTAAATAATGAAGCCCTTTCATGACGTGAATTTGGTGTATTATAACAGATTGTTCACAATGATAAAAAACTCATCTGCTAAAAGGCAGAATACAATATGCCACTTTTGATCGATATCAAAATAAGATATCCCACTGATCTTAAAAGATCTAATCATTCCCTTATCAAAAATAAACATAAAAAATGCCTCATTTAAAAAAAGTATAAACACAATACTATTTATTGCAAAATAAGAAATGAAAAAAATATATTTTGTCAACTTCTCAACTTTTTTGGAATGTTTTTTTTTTGGATTATAATATTTTTTTATGATATGACATTATTCCAGCGATTAGATGTACATTTAAATCACAGTTAAAAAGATGAATGTAAAAAATCAACATACCTAAATGCTGGAGGCCCCAGTGTTGGTGACTCATGACTTGGTGTTCCAACAACTGACAAACTTATGTTGGTTTTCGACAATGTAAGTGCATGTGAACCACTATTTTTGGTTGACAAGACTGATGACACACTCGTTGTAGGGTGAGCATTAACATTTTGAGTTGAGTGTGTGTCTGTAGGAGAGTGCCTTGTAGGTGAATGTCTGACTGCGCTTGCACTTTGTATTGGTGACAATTGACGYCCRTGCGAATTAGCAATGTTGATTGTTTCTAAAGGCGTTCCTGGGGTTGAATGTGACGATGTACTAGCATGTAAAGAAGATGTTGAGGCAAGAGATGATGCRTGTGTTGGTGAAACATTCTCTTGTGCTTGCGATGATGAAGAACTTTGATTTGTTGAAGGAAGTGGCTGTTTTTTACCAACTTTTTCTGTACTTGTTGTATCTTTGGTTTCTTTGTGTTTCTTGGATTCCCGTATTTCATTCTTTCTTGCCTCCCTTTCCCTTGTTTCTCTTGCTTCTTGCAGCTGAAAAAACAATTACTTAGTGTAAATTATATATTCATTGAAACAGAAARGTTTGACAGCAACAGCAATCTTTTTAGTTTCCTTATATGCAGTGACAACTGTTTCTTTCTGATAATATTATCTCTTCATCTCATTTGTGCTTGTGAGGAGAGGCTAAAGAACATGCCATTTTCCCTTAATACTCTCAGTCAACATTAGTTATACAGAAAAGTCTTGGCAAATTCAAAATTGAAATGATATTATCAAGTAAATTACACCCATTTAAATCCTGCAAGTACCAACGAAATCCCACATAAAATCTACCTTTTTCATTTTCTTTTCTTTTCGTTTTGCTTTTTCCTCTGCTTCTTCGTGTTTTGATCCACTGAGTAGTTTTAGCAAAGGATTATCAGCATTTTCTTTGGTTATTTTTGTCTTTAACTCTTGAGCAAATCTTTCTGAAAAATTATCTTTCCTAAAGTAGTCATGCTTCAACAATTGTGATGACGATGGTCTGTCTACTGGATCCATCTTAAGGGATAGCTAAGGAGGAAGAGTAAAAAATTAATATTTAAAACACTTCAGAAAGCTGACACAATGGAAATCTATAATAGAACATTAGTTTTGTAAATCTTATTACAATTCGTACTCATTTTCAACATAACATGAAGATAGAGCTTGGCAGAAGTCTTATTCAATCGTTACCTTTCATTATAATTTCCCTATGTCATCTTGCAAGGTAGCTGTACATTTGCATTGAAGCAAAACAAGTTTTATCATGTAACCTCTATACAATTATAATTATTATTGTTCACAGGTTTCTATCATGGCAAGCTCACCACTCGTCTTGCACTGATGCAAAGTCACAGCTACATGTCAAGATGACACAGGGTGGCATTGCTGTATAGAATGTACTTTGTGTCATGTCCAATACCTTCAATAAATCCAATGCTAAAGGACTGATTCTTGGAAACCGTCTTTCTAAAGGCTCAACTTCTTTGATGTCTGGCAATCTCATGCCAACAAAAAGTGGATTCTTCTGGAATATTTCCTTATGTCTGGTTATTAAATTACCTGTAAAAAGTTTGGTTTTAAAGTCAGCCAACAAATTCATACTAAAGGCCCACATGCATCCAAAAACCATTGCATGCATAATTCTTCTGTTTTACAATGATCTCTTATTGAAAGGTGCTTAAGATTTAAGTTCAAAATCAAAGATTACAAACTTTTGTATGTGGAAAAATCACAAAAAAGGTTCTTGGATGCATATAGGCCTTCAATACTAACTATAGATGACAAGTGCCATTTTCAAGATGGTAATTTTGTACCAATCTCCTGCCCAGAGACAAGTTCTGGACCTTAAAATCATGTGCCAACTAAAGCCACAATTCCTGACTTTAACATCAGCAAACATGCAATGTTCACACTGTAGTACCAGTACCAAGACACCAAATGTGAACAGCTGACTTTGACAGAGAATTTTCACAARCATTGTCAAAGTATCATTCAATTAATATATGATGTCTTCAAGCTAACTCACCAAAACATCTCATGATATGATATAGTTGGTCRATGTCAGAGTCTCCTGGAAAGAGTGGCTCTCCTGTTAGAGTCTCAGCTAATAAACAGCCTATGGCCCAAATATCTACAGCTCTGTAAAATAAAAAAAAAAATGCATTTTAAGATGTGAAAAATCACATGAATAGGTTTGGAATGTCTCTACAGTTATTCTATTTAAAAAAATTGAATATAGAACGGCTGTCCAAGCAAGATTCCTTTTTGATACCATGACGTAGCTGCAACTGTGTCTCTGAGCACTTACATAAACACAGTCATCCACCAATGATAGGCCATGTTATATTTTCAGAAATTTTATAAGATGATATTATATGTTATTTACTCTTCTTTAAAGAACCATAAAGTCTTCATTGTACATAACAAGGCTGCAGGCCCCAGTTCATATAATTTTTCACTAATATTGATTGAAAAATAGCCTTTTTTAGCTTGTTTTTGTCCAAAATTTTATTTAGGATGTCATAGACTGCACAGATAGTGAATAAATTTGACCACTGGAAATCYAAGACATAATGATTTAATTAAAAACGTTGTCATAGAGAAATAGAACATTTAATAAAAATGAATAAATTGAAAAGATGAAAGAAAGCCTACAACTGTTTTTTTAAGTTTTTTTTTATAATAAATTATATTACTTTTCACTAAAAGTACAAAATGTTCCTTCTTCTATGATAACATTAATTTTGCAATTAGGTGTAAATGTTTCTTTAACAATTTCCAAATTTTTATTATGCCTGCTAGTTTTAAATTATGTTTACTGGTAGGTACTCTTTCTCACCATTTATAATGATGAGCAGAATTACCTGCCTACACAGGCAAGCATAACAAAATTTTTAAAACAAATTTAAAATGTTTAAATTATCCAAGCATTATTTTACATCTATGCCTGCAACACAAAATAATTACAAACTCCTTAGTCACCTTCCATATTTAGTATCTCCTACTAAAAGCTCAGGTGCTCTGTACCACCGTGTAGCAACATAATCAGTATAGGCTTCACCAGGGCCTGCTGCTAATGTCCTTGCAAAACCAAAGTCACACAACTTCACAATTCCACTTTTTGAAACTAAAATATTTTCAGGTTTAACATCTCTATGTATTATCTGCAAAGAAATAAAATACAGTTATTTCTACTGTATAATTATTGTTATCTAGAAAGATTATTATTCAAGGCTAGCTGTTGTGTCGACCTAAAATGGCGCTTCGGCTCGCAAGGTACGGCGGTTGGTTATGATTCTTTAAGCTCTCGAATATGCAAAATATTCTACTTACATTGTGATTATGACAGAACTCTACGGCCCGCAGCACTTGCCACATAACCTTTTTTGCAGTGAGTTCATCTAAGCCATTGGGATATCTTTCCAAGTCATCTAACACAGTGTGATCAACGAATTCAAATACTAAAAAGAGACGTTTCTTTCTTCTAAACACTTCTATCAAATTAACCAGATTTTCATGGCGGAGTTGCTGTAATCAAAAGATTCACAATCAGTATTGTTTTGAAGTCAAGCAGTTTATTTAAGATTGTGAAAACACTGATACTTTATGCTCAATGCCATGAAAGATATTTTAATTATTTTCTGAGACTATAAGCTGTACTGTTAAATTGCTGTTTTCAATTAAAGTCATACTAAAACTGCTTTGTATTAAATTGCATTATCATGCATATATGAATACAAAATGGTTAATGAAAATATTGTCATTGAAAATTTGTATTATTCAGTAAGGACAAAACTGATTAGTCTTTCAGTTTCCAACTGTGTTCAATCTTAATGTCTTCACCATGCAATAATTGTGATACAATACAAAACTCAACAAGACAGAATCTGAATATCTATTTATCATGTTTTATGCTAAACAATAGCTTTAATGCAAGCTACAAAAGGTTTATGTGATGAAAACTATAAGTAAATAAGAAACTAAATGTACACTTTATCAAGAAAACTGCTCTTTTTTCTAATAAGGAAGATATTTTCGGCTAAGTGATGTAGCTTTCTTTGCTATTAGTGACCATCTGTCAAAGGTACAGCCATTACCATAATAACCTAAGGTGTTATACTATTTGAGTYGCAAAGCAGTTTGAATTCTCGGCATGGTGCTAGACTTAACACTTTCAATGATCTTTGAACTGGTGTTAGTGTAAAATATAAAAAGCCATACTTTCCATACTAAATGAAAGAAAAACATCCCAAGATAACAAGTGAAAATGACACTAAGTACAAATGTGAATAACTACCATTAGTACAAGTATTTCCTGAAGCAATGCTAGACAAGGAGAAACATAATCAAYAGTACAACACAAAAACGTTTTGGGAATATACATCCAAGAAGTGATCATATCAAGTCATTAGGACTTATTTTATTAAAAAACATGACACTAGAAAGAGTAATGACTTGAGTGTTATCAGTCGTAAGATATTGAGTGTTGTACTGATGCAGTAATTTCCAAATTGGATGCTGGCGTTTCAAACATCCCATTTTTTTCCTAATGTTTCCATTTTCAAAMAAAAATATGGGACAAATGATCAACATGATGATGAGCAATCTTTGGTTTAAAATATTAACATTGACAACAGTGAACTTAAATTTCGCTCCCCAAAAGCCATCACAAGATATTTATATACTAGAGACACAAAGGATTTCTAGTGTTCTTGACATACTGGGAAAGAATACATGGAACATTTAAATCATAATTAATAATTACGTACACATTAAAGACAAAAATATGTTGACACAAAAAATTATAAGAAATACAGCCGACAACATGGAGTGTGAAGCCACAGCAAAACACTCTCTTTCTGGCCAATGCATAGTATTGTTTTACAACACTTACCTTGAGCATTCTCACTTCTCTCAACGCAATCTTTTTGACCATTTTGTCATCTTCACTCTCAATGAACTTTTTGATGGCTACAATCTGGTTGGAGTCCTTATGTCGACACTTCATCACCATGCCGTACGATCCCTCTCCAACAAGACCCAAATTCTCGTACTTTTCCATATAGATTGCAACTGTTTAGTCTAAGTATTCCTTTGAAATTGTACGTTCGCCAGTGAAATGAGGATGTTCATATTTTGTTCAACAAAAGGGCTTCATCCATCCTAGAAAACCTTGTTCCAAGTTATTGCACCGATGTTTGTTGAGATGCAACGAGCATCACGATGTAAACCACCAAGTAACAAGATGATTTAATATCTTGACGGACTCTGCAGTTACTTTAGTATTTCGTACAGCGTTGTAAACACACAATGCCAGCCAAACAATTAAATTAGTGTACTGAATTTGGGCTGTTCGATAAAAAATCAACCGGATCGGTGGAACACTAGCAATTAGGTGAAAAATCCTTTCCTGTTTAACAAAGCTTGCTCCTTGTGTTGCCGAGTAAACGTAAAGAAAGGCAATCAATAACCATCTAAACAGTGCCGTCCACGCTTTAGAACTCACACTGTTATCAATGTGGATTATTATTCCAGTGCCTGTCTCTTTTCCAGCTTCTTATTAGCCATGGACATTCAGTGATGTATAAGTTATATAATAAAACTCCTTCGTAGGCCGTTAAGGGATTTCGATTCGCTTCTCGTAAAGTCTTTCAAATGCTAAAGTCCGCCATGAAACGTTCTTCACTTTTGTCTTCCACGATAACGAGCCTCTCATTAGCTTGTTGCTATGGCAATATCAGTGTTTACCCGCCTGGGTTCCAGGCTTCGCGCTTCGGATTGCAAAATAGGAGTCACATGACTTCCTATTTCTTTCCGCTTTTTCTCTTTCTTCGACATTCTTCCAATGATCGCTTTTTTCTTTGTGAAATTATATTGTACTCGGAAATTGTGTTGAGATATTTTCTCCCCATTTTTATTTTTTTTAAATGTATATTTTGTTGGTTGTGATTTTTAAAAGGATAACCTTTCTGATACTCTTTCTCAAGAGCTTGAATAGTCTTAAATCTTTCAATATATAAGCAAAATGGAAGCTTTGCTTTTCAATTTAAGAAAATTGAATATCACATAATTTTTCTTCTGTGGGCTACCTGTGGTGTCTATTGTATTCACGGGGTCACGTGGGTGCCTACACGCTTCAGATCATGACGTGAAAGCTAGTGTGAACTAAAACCACTAACTTTTCATTCATATTTTGTGCAGATGCATTCATCGGCTTTTTTACGTCAAAGGATGTATTCTGTTCCCTGAAATTTCTTTTGTAAATTATTTTTAGAAAAGCATCTTACTTAAAAATTGCATTTTTTAAAAACACTTTGAGAAAATAAAAGTTTTCTTAGCAGTAGCGTATGGCCCAAGCTTCACTTTCTTTCTACACAACACGATGCTACTGAAGGACAACTTCAATACTTTTAAAGAATCGTTTCTTTTAGCGAACTTCCAGGTTGAATTCTAAACATGATTCTGTCACGCAAAGTGTTTTCCATAATTAGTAAACGAGCATGCTGATTGGTTTATCAAACAATCGGCTTCATCACGCCATCCTGTAATTGCTGCGAGTTACTTCCTAAAATCTACATTAGGGTTGTGTCTTTTGAGCAATTATAAACGATAGCAGCGATACTCAAGGCTTTTAATTGAGTTTCATTGGAGCTATACAACTGTGCATGATTTTTGGAGTTTCGTTTCATTCAGAGGACTTGATTCTAGGATCTTTCGAGGCCTCTTTGGATTAGATTCGAGGAGACGTGAGTATTTGATATAATATCCAAGATGTCGTTGCTCTTATGAGCATGTGTTCATCCGTATAAAATTTCCTATTCTTCTTTATYCTTTCGGCCAGGAGAAGTTGCTAGAATTAAGAAGTGTAGATCGTTGAACATAAGTCTTGTTTATTAACCTTTCTAGGGAGTTTAGATCCAAAATGTTCACTTTGACTTTTTTGTTGTTTGTGTGTGTTGAAATGTGCCATAAAGCGAAATGGCTTTCACTTCAGTAAGTTATAAGCTCGACATTCACAAAACTAAAAATCGAAATAACATAAAGTTGTGTTGTCGATGTACGGAAGTATAAACTTTACAAAGACGATTTTGCATCCATGAAATAGCATTTTGTGTTTATGTGCATTAAACGGTATAATTTAATTTAATGTCAGCCTTGAAATTGTGTACAAATAACTTATAAGCTTACTCAGTTTCTACAGAAATTGTATGGATATAAAATAACGCATGAGGCTTCAAAACTACTTCGACTGTACTAATTTAATCTTAACTCTGCATTTAAGCGGCGTTAACGGTGTATTCGAATAATTTTTTTTCGTAATTTTGTGTTGAATTTTTAAACCGTATGATAATAGGTTATGTCAAAGCATTTAGCTAGCATAATAATCATTTTACTTTGACAGAAACCTCTGTAAATATAACTTTGTGTCCATGATTTTTAAGTAAATTTATGTATTATATATTRTTTTTGTATTGTTTTCATTCACATACTAATAAATTGTTAATATTTCAAAACCAAGGCCTCTACTTTTAAGCATTCATAAAGATTACTTTTTTATGATATGCTTATGATGGATTTATGCTAGCGTATTGCAATAATTGCCTTAACTAAGATGGTAAAAACACTCACCCAAGAGACACATCTCATAGGTCATCTTTTAATTGTTTCTTTATGGAAATCAAAACATTTTATATGTACATTGTGTAGTCTTAACAGAAGTCAAAGTGATCTTGTGCTTGATTAAAATATCATAATGTAGCTGTAAATATCTTATTGTCAACTGTAACAATCAWTGCATTATTGAGAAAACTGTATCAGTATTCAACATAGACATGTGCTTTGTACTATGTGTCCACATGTTTATCCATAACACCTATATCAGTGGATATTAGTGTTAATAATTTAAGTGTTGACACTTTTATCCATTATACATTATAACATTTTCTTGTCTTTTGACCACTTACATACAGTTCTTGTGAAATATTAATGTTCAATGTTATTCTGTGGTTTTTGTTTCAGGATTACAAGATGGCCCAAGAATGTGATGCATAATCGCTGTATTTGTTGTGCAGTTGTTTTCATCATATTGTTCTTCACCTTAGCATTCATCTCACTTCTATTTTTTTACATTGGAATGTTTTTGAAAAGATAAAATATAAGTTATACWTATTGTAAGTACATCATGAGTTAAGAGCAATAAGTCAATTATTTATCAAAGTTGATATGTGTAAAACCTTGGAATAGACAYTTATTAGGGAAGCACTAAGCACTAGACAAAACAGCAGAACCCACRCCATTGTTTAACAGACAGTAAAGCATGGAGGACATAAGCAATGTCTATATTCCATGTTGACTTCAAAATTTCAGGGAATTTTAAKTCACAGCAGGAATAAGTTCATATCAAAACCAGGCAAGCATTTCAGAACCCTTTAGTTAACCATTGTAATAGGATCCCCTTATATGTATTCAGTTTGTGTAAATAAGAACATAACGCATCTTAGGGGGAGAGGGGTTTGGAGACAATGACAAGTGGTTTTTCCTGAGGAAGGAAAGGGTTCTATAGAAAAATTCAGATGAACAGAAATTATTATCAGTGATTCATGATTTCTGTTTTACAGAATACAATTCAAAATGCTGGCTCAAATTTTACGAGAGATGTACATTGATCCTGATATTTTGGCTGAGTTGCCAGAAGAACAAAAGCAAATTTTGTTTGTKAAGATGAGGGAAGAACAAGTGAGAAGATACAATGAGAGGGAAAAAGACTTTGAACACCAGGAAAATAACACCATCAAGGCAAAAAACAAAGGTAAGATGCAGGGGTGGGTGCAGGGGAGTGGACTGTGTGGATTTCTATCCTTCATAAACAGTCAAACAGTCATCTAATTCTAAAGAACATTTAAGGATATTATAAATGCATCAGCATTCCATTTATGTTCTCAGTGAACTGATTTATCGATTTGACTAATTCATTATGTTAGCTACAGTCTTTCAAATTTCATAATTTGTGTATATTGGCCTGGGTTGGCATTGAATTTTTTGCTGTTATATGTCTCTAAGGTGCTGAATCAAAGGGGAGCAAGGATGGACGAGCGGTTAAAACGCCGGTCTATCACCGCTGTGGTCCTGGTTCGATTCCCGGTCCGGGACTATATGTGATTTGAGTTTGTAGGCTGGTTCTCTTCCTTGCTCCGAGGGTTTTTCTCCAGGTCCGCTGGTTTTCCTCCCTCAGTCAAAAACTAGCTGTGAGGAGTGTCATGTAGTAAAATAATGAATGTTGAGGTAGTGAGTATGAGTGAATATATAGAGGGCCAYAAGTTTATTAGTCTAGAGACTATTACATGCTACCCTCGCAAAATAAAAGACTTTATTTATTATTGTTTTTGTAAGGGTGCTTGGATTAGCTTATTTTACTCGGTAGACAACCTGGGGTCCCAGGAAATGTATGCATGTAGTCCAAAATTTTGAATTGAAGTCAATTTCATTCGAATGAAAAATTGCACGAATGTCATATAGATGTCCTGTAATACAGCCACGACACAAGATCTGGTTACGGCATGAACCATTCTGTTGAAAACATTATATTTTTTGTCCCATTCAAAAATATATGTGAATCAATGAGAATGCCTCAGACCACTTGAGTTTTTGTGGTGAYAGAAAAAGGTTCCTAAAACACTGCTTCTTTTCAGCAATCAATCTTCAAGAACCAAACCTTGTATTTGTTTGTCTTTTTGACTGGTGAATAAAGTGTCATSTCACTGCTACACCCATCAAAASAGGACTCTATTCCCTTTGGGGTGTCATTTTATGTTAGCATCCAACCTCTTTTGTAAGGGAGTCCACCCTGGAGGTTGATATTCACTTATATTTGCTATTTCCATTTTCCACTTACCATATTTATGTGGAGAATGCTATGTATTGATTTATGTGTATATTTTTCAGAAAATAAGAAAAAYGTCCATTACCTGATAGCAGCTGATGGGAATCCTTGGGTGTGGGTGATTGATGATGACTTGGATTTAAAAGCTAAAGGTATAGTTTTTATAAACTAAAATACTCAGTCTTAGCTAGTGGACAGGGTGGGAATCGAATCCCTGGATCACCGGATTATGAGACTAGTGTTCTGACCACTTGACCAGGTTTCCTCCTTTGAGCTTATCGTTGATTCGTAGGATTAAAACAGTTAAAATGATTTATTTTAATGTAATAAGTGGTACTTCCTGACTTTTCATTACCTGCTGGGGTGAAAGATACAAATGATCAATGTCAAAAAAATTAGTACCTTTTCTCTCTGTTTATGGTGTACAATTTTTGTTGCTGCACCCTAGTTATTTCATCCCATGAACTATGCATTTACTGAGATACTCCATAACTAAAAGACATACCTGTGTTCAGGCATCTCCCTCCACCTCCATCAATACATACCCTTTTAACTTTATTTGCGACTGATGTCAGCTATTTTTGCCTTACAGAACAAGAATTAAAAGAAGATCAGCTTGCAGAGCAGCGAGCTATGGAACAAGCACACAAGGAAGCTAAGGAGCTTATGAAGAAAGAACAGGAGAAACTAGAAGAGGAAGAGAGAAAGCTCAAAGAAGAACAAGAACGACTTGAAAGGGAGGAGGCGGAAAAGGAAGCTCGAGTAAAAAAGTTGCAAGAAGTAGGTCATAGTATTGCAGTAACACTTTTGTCTTTCTCTTTTGCAGAAGGATACGCAAAAATAGAAATTTGACTGTAAATCAATTTATTCATGGCTTTTTTCTGCCTCTCTGACATCAAATTTTTATAGTCGTTCTGCAGGAGTGCGTGCAGTCATTGCTCCCATTGGCTACAACACTGATTCTCATCTTTATCCTTCTTTCAGGAAGCAAGAAAACTCGAAGAAGAAAGAAAAGAAGCGGAACGAAAGCAGCGCGAGGAACGACGAAAGCAGGAAGAAAAACGAAAAGCTGAAGAAGAAGCCAGGCGTAAAGCCGAAGAAGAAAAAGCTGCTCGCGCTAAGAAGGAAATGGAAGAAAGAATGAGAAAGATGGAAGAAGTACGTTTAGCTGAATAAGTTACTGGTTGAAGTAGTGGGGCTTATTTAGGGGGTTCCACAGTCCTTTACAACTAAAGACTGGAAAGATAAGAGTTCCGACTGTTGATGCGCTATGTGAAAATTTGTATATTTTTTTCTCGCTTCTCTCCATGATTCTTTTGCATGCAGTCAGTTTAAAGTGAATTGACTAGATTCAGTATTTACATTGTCACTTAGTGAAATAGCACTATGTCAAAATTCATATTTTTTCTATAAAAGACCGCCTGTTAGTGTTAACTAGACTATATATGGCTTCCTTTTATATTGCAGAGGAAGCGAGAGGCAGAGAGAAAAGCAGAAGAGAAGAGAAAAGAGTTGGAGAAACAACGACGACAAGAAGAAATGAAGAGACTGGAAGCTCAAAGACAAGAGGAACTGAAACGATACGAAGAGATGAAAAAAGCTCAGGAGCTTGAGCGACAAAAAGAAGAAGAAAGGAGGCGTAAGCAAGAGGAGGAAGAAAAGCGAAGACGCGCGAAAGAAGACGAAGAAAGACTGAAGCGAGAAGCACTAGAGAAACTGAGACTTGAGAAGGTATTCAAGGATTTGATTTGTCTTACGGAATTGAGATTTTGATTTAAAAATCAAAATGAAAATAACATTTTTCATGATTGTTTAAAATGTTTGGGTCCGCAAGGSTATATTTTTTTCATATTTTGTGTGTTTTTGCCCTTATTAAGTTAATAACTTAATATGTATCTAATCAAGTACAATATTCGTACTATGTAAGTACAATGCACCACTTATTTTCCAGGAAGCACAACTCAAAGCTAAGAAACTTGAAGAGGAGCAGCGAAAAATAGAAGAAGAACGAAAACTTGAAGAAGAACAAAGAGAAAAAGACAGAAAACGAAAGTTAGAGTTACAACGACTTCGTGAGGAAAGACTGCGCGAGAAGATGAAACGAGAAGAAGAGCTCGTTCAACAGGAAAAGCGAAGAGCACAAGAGATCTACCAAAGTCTAAAGAACGTCAGAGAACAAGTAAAACGAAAAGAAGAAGAAGAACAAAAGCAATTAGACGAAGCTTGGAAGCTAAGCGAAGAAAAAGCTAAAGAAGCCGAGAAGGAAAGACGAAACTCTGTGAGTTTAGCTCGAAGAGAAGTTTTAAGAGAACGATGGCTTGCTGCCAAGAGAAGACATACAATGGGTAAAACACTAACGATTGAAGCACCACACAGTCCGCCAACATTGTCCACTCGTAGTGGGTCAATAACAGTTAAACCTAACCGTGCTCCTCCACCAGTTCCTAGTCACCCTCCACCAGCTATCCCCAACAAGTAAGTTAGGAATGTCATGTACGCAAAAAAAGTTTGTTTATTTTTTTGTTATTGTATCTCTTTTTCCGGGTTTTCTCTTGTTTTCTGTTGTCATTATTACTTGGTGTTGTTGTTGTCCTTATTACTTTKATGTTGTTATTGGTATAGTTTGTTATCACTTATTTTGTTTTTGTCATTCCTTTGTTTTTAATTGTTAATGTCGTTTTGGTTGTTGCTTTTGAGTCAGATTTTGTGTTGATGTTTTGTAGCCTGTGTACATCCATTTCTCACCCCTCCAAAAAAATCGATGTGAGAAAAGGATGTACACAGACTAATGTTTTGTTGTCGTTATTTTTTTGCWGTTATCAATTGTTATGGTGATTGTTTTTGTCAATTTTCTTTGCTATTTTTTCTTTATTTTTTGTTTTTGAATTTGTGGAGTTAACATGACGTTTGATATTTCCTCCTACTAGAAAACCACTTGAGAAAACTCGATCAAAATCTCCACCAGAACGACCCCCACCACCAAACCGAAATCGCCCTTCGTCAACTCAAGGAAAAACAAACGATTCTCAAGTGCCTGTTTCAATACCTGTCCCAGTCCCTCCAAAGAGAGGACGAAAACCCAAGTCACGAGTCGATGTTATTGAGTGGTTTCGTGAGGAAGAACTTCCAAAGCGGGCCTGTTATTTGGGCGAAAATGTTCTTCCATATTTCCATGGTAAGTTAACAATATAAGGCTACAAATTGTCTAAAGTATATAATAATGTTCCCATGTTCGCATATTTTAATTTGCTGCTCTCCAGTTCGCAATTCTTTTTCTGTTTCAGTTTCTATCATTGTTTCTCCAATCCCATTTTTAGTTATTCTTTGCATTATATATATTCCCTTGCATTTGATATACATTTTTTTCTTGTTAACCAATGACTTTCTTTCACTTTTTTCTAAATAAATCAATTTTACTTTTATTAGGAATAATTTCACGCCAAGAAGCGGAAGAGTTATTACTTAATAAGAAAACTGGTACATTTCTCGTTCGGGTGAGTGAACGCGTTTGGGGTTACACAATTACTTATCGCTCAGARGGACGTTGTAARCAYTATCTAGTGGACAGCAGTGAAAATACCTATCAGTTCTTTGGACATAACCAAATAGCGCACCCCACATTAAACGACCTGGTCGAATTTCATAAGATTCGACCGATTTCCGGTATGGGACAAGAATTATTGCAGTTCTCGTGTGGACAAGAAAAGGAGCCGCCAGACTACCAAGAACTAGTTGAGCTTGCAAAAGACCAGGARATGACATACTTTTGATAGGTGAATTGACAATTTGAGTTGGCACATCATATATGCATTTCAGTCTACAGCACGATCATAAGCATTTCCCAAGAAAGCTCTGCAAAATGGCTTTTTTTTTTTCGTTGCGTCACAAATTTTCCTTGAATCGGAAAGAAAACGAAAAATGTGATAATTCAAACAGATAATTCATTAGATAATCAATACGGTTCTCTTGTAGAGAAATGATTTATATTTTGRAATCAAATCACTCATGTTTTAGTTCACGTCAGATTTCTAACAGTTTATTTTTCAGAACACTAATTTCATATCTATAGTGCATTTCGGTCTATATTGGCATGCACATGGTTAAACTCGAATATGTTGAAAGGTTGAATGATGGAAAAATATAATCCTGGAATCATTAGGTTGTTAATTCTATATTTAGAAAATGAATTAGTCACACTACCCTGGTTCCAGAGGTTTCTCTGTGTTATTCTCTGTGAAAATCTCTCCGTTCTTCGCCGCGAAGTCGATGTCGCCGCTTCGCGGCGAAGAACGGAGAGATTTTCACAGAGAATAACATAGAGAAACCTCTGGAACCAGGTTATAGTCACACAAGAAACGAAAAAAAGGAACGATACAGGAACATGAGACGTACATAACCGTTATGGTTATGTACTTCTGGGAACATATAAGAGCATTATGCCAATAGAATGTTTAATCAGATTATCTTCGAAATAGGCATTACATTTAACCTGTGAAACACTAACTAATTCTCAGCGTGTAAAAATTAAAGTGCAAACACTAAAACCATGAAAAMCTAAGTTAGRTAGTGCAAAACTGTACTGAATTAWTAGCATTATTAGTCGAACATAACAGTTTTGGTTCGGCTGCACGTAGAATATGAATTATGCGAATTTGTTTGTTTTCTATTGTCCAATCAACACTATTTAGAATTAATTAGTGCAATTTGTTTCTTTCACGCTTTCTAGTGTTTGCACTTTAGCGTTTACACACTGGCTGTGAGACAAAGAGAACAAGAAAACTATAGAGAAGTCCTGAAATTAACCCGTGAAACAAAATATGACTGTTAACCTGAGGTTGTTAAATAGATACTATTTCACGGTTTGTTTGGCTTCACTCTAGCGTTCTACATATTTCACGGGCTTTTGTAAAGTATCGATTTTTAGCAATCACTATATAGTTGTTTAAGAGACATCAATGACAAGACAGTTGTCAGCTCTACAAATAATCCATAATTTAAATCAATTGAAAKTAAAACCACTGATTGTTAACGATAACAAGATTTATGATAAACAAAACAAGTAATGATTTTAGTAGGCTGTTATTGATTGATTCACTTAGAACTGAAAATGAAGATCTCATCAGAGACCGTACAAATTCGTCTCGAATTAACCTATCAGAAGGCCTTCCATTACTGAGATTCATTTTCTCGGACAGCTTTTCATCATTTGCGCCTTCTACTTGGTTAAAACTGAGTTTTGGAAGTGTAAATATCTGATTTGATTAGTCGAGAAGACAGGTTCAACTGCAGGAACAAAGTAAATAATTATTCTGGAGCACGGAACTCAAGAAATTGGCTGCTGACACCGCGTTTAAATCGTCTTACGAGTCTCGAGTGTTGAAAGTAGACGTTTTTAATGGTGTCCCTGAGACATGATCTCCATTAGGTCCAAAAGTGAGTAAGTCACACCAGAAACTGCCATCATTACACCAAAAAAGGCAATGACAATATCAACAACGACTTGATACCATTGAAGATAGTCCCAATATAACTTGATATGAAACAAACACGGAAAAATCACAGCAATACTGGTACCGCTAATGCTTCCTACGAAAGCCAAAATCAGAGAGAAATATGGAACAACTGTCGCCATAACAATAGTGATTAGAACAATGATTAGGCGTAGTAGGTATTTGCATAATGGTTTAGGGCGTTGGCCATAGCCATCCAGACACCTTGTACCAAGGAACCTGTTAGCAGAGCTCTCTATCATGTCAAATACGGCGAATATGGGCAGCGAGTAGCCAGTGAAAGCGAGAAAGACGACAATGATGTTCATCGGGATGAGAAAGTATGTCGGTAGGTTGTTGGTTACTACTTCATTGACGTCTTTAGAGAAAGCCAGGTAACCAAACACACCGAGGGCGAGCTTGAGGACTGTCATCATTGTGTAACCATAGTTTAATATGGAATTAAACTTTTCTGGTGACTTCATGCTTACTTCAAGAACAGTCAAATAAATCTGCGCCGAGTAACTCGCGACTAACATTCCCAGAGACAAGGGAAACTTACTTGGCTGGAATACTAGCATATCATCRAAGTCCCACTTAGGTATTTGGTGTAAGCTGTACCCAATTACAGTTCCAAATGTACCAAACCCAAGAATGATTGTCATCATGCTAATTTTGGATAAGAACGCGATGGAAGTCAGAAAAATGTTCGCTGTCATCCCAATTCCGAATATGAGAATCCACATCCTTGTGCTTACGGGAAGATTAGGGCATAGGAAGGCCAACGCCTCAGCACATGCAATAGGATTAGCAGTAGCTGAGAACATTAGTTCTAGAAACTTTGCTACTAGTACCATTTGTCGGCCGCAGTGCGGCCAGAACGCCTCGCCCACGTCAGAGTACGTGTCCCGTGTCCTTATTCGGCCTTTAGTTGGATGAACTTCATATAAACACTGCACCAGAATCTTGGAGGTATAACAGGAGAATGCTGCAACTGCAATTGTACCGAGAATGTACCAATACCCACCGTAGCTTGCTGCGAGAGGCATTGCTAACAACCCAAGACCTTGTATTGAACTGCACGTGTTCCAAAACGCATCAAGACTGGAAATTTTGTACTTGTATTTCACATTTTTCACTTCTTCTTGTTTTTCCTCAACTTCTTCACGGTTTAACTTGCAGTATTTGTGTTCAGAATCCATGCTTTTCTCGAAAAAAAAGGTTTTTATCACCTCTAACAACAGCTGTAAGACGCTTGTACAGTTCTACGTACAAAGAACTCGTCGTCGACTTCGCGCTGCATAATTTATTCAGAGATAGTTATCACGATGGAATGTTTTATTTCATACGCGTGCTGTTACAGACGATCTACATACTTTAACCGTTCAAACAAAGCTTTTACTAGCTAAATAAATACATTAACAATAAATAAAGAAATATTTGTAAGTAATTTTGTAAATCATGAATTACTGGATGAAAAGAATGAACAAATAGATGGATGGAAGAAATGGAATAAGCATGAATGAATGAGAGGGAATTGAAAACGGCACAAACTGGTAAAAACCGGTTTAAACCCGTCTTAAAAGGCTTACAAACGGAAGTAACTGCAAAGAGACGATCTTTATGGTAAAAATATCCTTTAATCTTATTATATCCCTTTACATATCTACACCATTTTACATAACTTTACAATCAATATCTTATAAAAAAACTTTGAATATATGTACCATTTTCCCCACATTACCCATACCCCATGTTACCAATACGGTATCAATATATTATATTATGCTAATAAACAGCATGAAGGATTCCGAATGGAATAATTCTACATATATTTCACTTCATTTTATGAATTATGAATGGCGATAYAAATAAACGAGTTGTTTTCACCTCTTTACGTCACTGATTTTCTTCAGAATACCCATGATTCCCAACGTGCGCTCCTCTCAACATGCAATCATACGCGTATCGAAAAGCATTGCCGTTGGTTAGGTAGTTTCACCGTTAAAGGGAATCTTTCTTAGAGTGGCTGTGCTTACTCTGCACCTTGATAAGCAATTTAGTTTATTTTTCAGTTTTAAACGCTGTGTTTTTCTCCTCAGACGGCTAGGATGTTTTGGGTTTGCTCAACATTAAAACATAATTTAATGACTGTTGGCCGCTTTCTATGAAATGAAATGGAATCAGGAAGTTTACAGCAAAAACCTCTACACTAAATATCGCGATCTTGAAATTTGCTTTTTTTTTTTGTTCAAACATGGAAAGGTACTTTACCCTTTTACACCCAAAACTCTTAACTTAGTGGTTGCACGCGGTATCAGGTTTTGGCTGTATAACTATTTTTTTTGTCATTCATGCGTTTAAAGTAGAATGACAAGTGATGTAACGGCGAATGAATTATTTCTCCTTAGAGAACAAAGTAATGTAATAATTACCTTCTAAATAGAATCCTTCAAGCTGAAGATATCTTAATACACTATGAAACTCATATTTACTATACTAAAAGATAATATTCCATTGGTGCTCCTACAAATGGTARCTCCCTGTGAAATGCAGTCATTGAGCGCTTATTTGTCGAAGGGAAAATGGCGGCGGTAAACACTGGTACGTTATATATTTAATAGTATTATCCTTGCTCTGATAACTTAAACCTCCATCTTGCTTCATTTTCCTGGAATACTCGTCCTCAATGGAAGAAGAACGAAGCATTACTGGCTCGGGGTACAATGTTCTTTCTTTGTACTCAATATCTAGATACTTTTTCAATGACATGATTTCCTCATTCGTATTATCCAATATACTGCACAAAGAATCCATTTCATGGACAATCTGAAAATTCTGGCTATTCAAAACAGACGGTTCGTAGTTGTTGGTTTTCACCAAATCAATGGATCCTTTTCTTTGGTCTGTTCTTATTATTCGCTCCATTTCCAACACACGAGAATTAAGAAGATATCCCCCAGCACGAAAGCGCTGATGTTGACGGCTAATTTCTAATAATTCTTTATCAAAAGCTTGTTTCATTGCTGTCATCTTCAACATGAAGCCATCCCTATCTTCTTTGCAGGTAAATTGGATTCCATGAGCCTCAAAATTGTTATCGTTTATGTCTGGTGCAGTAGATGTGTTATTGAGGTGTGAACTGAGTCTGACGTGATGCAGTGAATCGCCTTTCGCTGTTTCTTGGTTGTTTAGAGGCTCGCATGATGAACTTGTCGATTTTCTTAAAGCACAGCTCGCAAATTCCTTCAACATTAACTTAAATTTAAAACAGAGAGACATTTTTCCTTCTTCCTTGAAGTCAAAAAGTATCTATCGCGAGGCATTTTGCAATTCCTTTTACCAATGATTCTTCAGCTTACCGCAACCTTGGTACATGACACGTAAACCCAACGGTTTACGAGTGTAACCACCAAATACAAACAATTTTTTTTTTTTTTTTTTAAGAACTTAAAGTTTCCATTTCGGTTTCGTGTGGCAAGGCGCGTCGCCTCAGCACCGCTACCAAGACAACGACTGGACTTTTGGCGGGATTTGCTCGTTTGGAGCATGCGTCATGGACGACAGGTGTCCACTAGTCCTCAAGTGCCAAGCACTCAACAGGTTTCTTCTGCCAATAAAATGATTTTCAGCCAATGAGAGGGTATTTTAGACTTATTTACATAATAGGCCATTGACTATAAGACTGCRGGTACCTGCTAATAGTAATTGGTTTGGGTCGGGACTCTGATTGCACAATTTTGAATAAAATAGAAAATCTAAGAATTGTGAACCAACTAAATCCTGGAAGCTAGTCGTATCACATTGTCTCTCGTCTCATTAGACACTAATGCATTACGATAAAATCTTGAAGACAATCAAATATTGGCACACAATTTTTAAAAATGGATAAATTTCCCTTTATTTAATGATTTTTACACTATTTCACCATTTATTACCATTATTTTCTTACTTAATTACATATTTGCAGTTCAAATAACAAAATTGATTTAAAATAAAAAAACATTTTTTTTTGTCTTACTTACAACAACAGTATCAGAGTAAGGCTGATGTACTACAATGATAAAATAATGTCATTGTTCATCTAGATAGCTGAACATCTTCTTTCCACTCTACTCGTTATACTTAAGGTATCATTCAATGGCTTAATAAAAACCTCTTCTTTAAACAACAAAGATTTTCCTGAAAAAAATATCCCTGACAATAAAAAGAAAGTCCCGATTGCTAAGACCAAGAAATTGACCACCAATTCCCACCATTTTAGTTCGTGTAAATACAATTTAACATAAAATAACGGAGGGAAAATAAACTCCAGACATATACCACAGATGCTTCCAACAAAGGCTAGAAGATAAGCAAACCTAGGGAGCAACGCAGCCATAAAAACACTCAATGAAACAAGAATTATCCTTAGTGCAAGTGCGTCTACATTTGCGATCTTTTTGCCGAGGAAATTTTGTAACATTGGCAAATGTGCTGTGTGAAGCACGTCAAAGATTGTGAACATTGGAAGCGTATAGGAAGTGAAGGCAAGCAAAGCCGCCATGATATTTATGGTAGCTCGGAATGACCCTTCTGGCAAATTGTTGGTTATAACTTCAGCTATATTAGGCTGGAAAGAAATATAAGCAACAAATCCAATCACAACATTYAGCAATGTCATTGTGACGTACGATAAATTTGTCAATAAATTAAACCTGTCCTTTCTGCGCATGCTACCTTCRATGACTGGGACAAAAGGCTGGGATAGATAGCTAGCTACTAGGATCCCTAATGCCGCTGGAAATGTGTGGATATCGAAGTTATCCAGAGAAGCCAGCTCCCATTTCTGATACTGCATTACACTGTATGCAAAGACAGTCACAAATATAACCTTTGCTGAAAGCACTGTTATAATACTTGTCCATGCTACTTGTGACAGRTTCTTGATAAATACATTTGGTATAAATGTAATTCCTCCTAGCAACGTCCACACCCAACACGCCATATCCCCAACAGGGATCGAYTTGGCCAGCAATCTGCCTACCATTCGCGGGTAAACAGCAGATATGAACAGTARCTGCAACACCTCTGTGATTAATACCATTTGACCTCCAAAATGTTTATTGAAAGCCTCCCCGATTTCCACGAAAGAATTCCTGATTCTTTTTCGTTCGTGTTGGCTTGACATTCCCTTGTCATAKAGACATCTCACTATAATGATTGCAGTGTAGTTTGAAGCTGCGGCAATGACAAGAAGTACAAAGAGAGCTACCCAYCCACCATTGTGAACAGCRTATGGGATTGCAAGAATTGGTAAACCTTGGATGGTATTACAGATATTCCAAAATGTCTCACAGTCTGAAGTCAATTGTTCTTCTGGTTCGGCCTCTTCCACTCCATTTTCTTCGCTTCTCWTAGAATCTATTTTGGAATCTTCTTCATCTTCTTCATCTTCGTTTTTCAGTAACGTGTATTTTATGTTTTCATCATTATTCGCCATGTTGATGTTTACTGTTTTTCTCTGAGTTGATGGTGTTTTTTTATGATGTTTCTTTACAGCCAGACCAAACTCAGTATGTACGGGAAGAATTATTGTCAACTGCTAATTGGCTTAGTGTCGGAMGAACTGACAATCTTTGCTATATATTACACTAGTAATCAGTGAAGAAATTGAACTGATCAAATTTTAACTTGATGTGCGTACCTGTAAAAGGTCACTTTTCTACAATGTCAATGATCGACATATAGCAATGCAACTGATAGTCCATGACCAATCAAGGAACTGGAACAGATACCTGAATCCCACATCTTGCATCGAATACTACAGGATAACCACTCAATGKGATGATCTTTAGTTTGAMACGCTGCTATCAAGAGTTGCCAAGCCAAGAAGTCATGATCATCTGATTCTARTATAGCTGTAGAACAGCAAGTTAATTCAGCTGCCAAAAGATCAAGYYYTATTCGGTATTTGAGTATTCATCAGAGTGTACATTTTCCAAGAAAGAASCCGGTATCGTCGCTTTTTAACTGATTCTAATGTGGTAAGGCTTTAGACCAACTCCTGTCAAAATATTATTGTTAAATTATTGTTATGAAATACCAAGACCAGAATCATCTCAAACAATTTTTCCGGGTGGCTTGTCAGACACCTCTAGAATAAATAAGCGGCCTTCATGCAGCCAAGTCAAAGAAATTCGCTTTTACGTCATTCGTGAAGAAATGTATGATTAGTTTAGCCTCCGTTGCAGCCGATAGTCGCAGTTGCGCGGACAATACCCGAGCAATTTTCAGTACATTCAATCGGTTTCTTCATAGTCTTGAAACCGCAAARGAAAGCTAGTTCCCCTCATGAAACCCCTGCATAAGCCCCTGTTTTAATGCCGACTCCTTTTCAARATAACGGTCGTCTGGGATATAGATGACGTCATCTCTCCGACGACCGCCATCTTGAATCGGCCGAAATGGTGACCCTGTACACGATTTACAGCCAGTCATATATATCAAGCATTTCAAAACTTTTAGGAAAAAAATGTCTGTTCAGTCCGGTGAAGCTGAAGCAATCTTCCTTTTGATCAATGTCGAGTCTGGCTGATAACGTCTTCACTACCGAATTAATGAGTATTAAGACAAGGGATAATGATTTAAAGCTCATCATCCTTCCACCTAACATTTCACAGTTTTTGTTTTCAGGAACTCAGGTGAAACAATTTGCAAATCTGTTCATTTAACGAAATTCTGAGAGCCGAGCAATGAACTGAATCGAATTGAATTGCAAATCAAAAGAAGTTCAGTCGACTGCTTGCWTGAACCTTTTCTCTAGTCAAATATACACTACATACACCAAAACTGGGGATAATGAATTGGCTTGCGAATGTAATTGACARATACCCCTCCAGCAATGCAACTCGCGGTGGCATTTCTCTTTCAGAAGTTAGTGACAAGCCCCGTTGTTGTTTGAACAACCATGGCTAAATTAAAGAGGCGTTCCCGTGKGTTTTAGGGACTGCAATACATGGCATTTATTTTCAAACTAATGAAAAATCACTATTGGGCAATTTCTTATACAGAACAGGTTTTGAGATTGCTTACTTTTTTTCTCGGCAATATAGCATCACTTGGTCGAGRGATCTTTGTGCACTGCTTGTTTTTCTTCTCGTCATTAGAAGATAGAGATGACCGTGATTTTTAACTGTAATAGTCATTCTCCACTATCTGAAATAGTATCTTTGACAACCCTAGCTTAGGGCGGCGTATTATCGTCTTATACGTCCACAATTGCAATTACACTTGAAACATTTGCAAATTTTAGAATTTTTAATTATGTTTTCGTTAGTGATGATTCGATTAAAAGTTGGATTGAAACAGCATATTAGTTATCTATGATGAGCGTTTATAATTTTTTTTAAGTTGATGTTTTCAAAAACCTGTACAATTGAAAACGTTCATCATTTTCGTGTAAGCACAAATGAGAATTGCGCTCAATTAAGAGATGTGTGTAAATTTGTAAAAATGAATAATATGAGCTGCACACTTGCAAACAAGCTGAATGGCACCTAAATCAAAGTATGYTTTTTTAAAAAAACACTTCCATTTCTCAGTAAGCGTGTACAGGAGTTAAAAGATTGGTTCTGACCAATCACAGCGCGTGAAAGATTAAATGGGGTCATCGGTGCGTGCTTTCATTAYCTCTCGACCWATCCGAACGAGCGTAATATACCAAATATTGTATAAAATCATAATTAATGGAAACCATCATTATTGCAAACTCTTTTTATGGTGCTGTCTATATTGTAAAGGAAATTGGAAATAGAAATAGACTTACATGTAAAACTGGTATTTTATCTCACACGATATCTCATCAATAATATAATATATGGTTTTATAGGAATTACTTAAGATCTTGTAAAATTGTGTGTAAATCGGAAAAATTAAAGAGTTTATGGTTTCCCTGTGTCAAAATTGCTTAGTTACCGCTGACCACATTACATAAGATCGATCGCTCCGAACCACGCGAATTKTTGGAGAATCAGATTATTTTATGTGGAAAGAATTATTGAAGCATGTAATTGTAAGAAGAAAGAGATTGATATAATAGAGTCATTCCTTGAAAAAGGTTTCAGAACCTCGTTAATACTTTGAAATCGCGATTCATGATTGTGAGACGACCAGTGATGATGACCAGTGGCATGATTGCAACGTAAATTGTAAGTATTTCTTATATTTTTGTGCTAGTATCATTCATTTTAACACAAAGATTGATGTCSAACAATGATAATAATGGTTTGTGCAGATCTTCATAGATAATGCTAGTGTTGGGGAGAAAATAAGTAGAGAAGAGGTTTATATTATGAAATTTCCACGTCTTCTTATCGATTGGCCCCTGTAGTCTAATGGATATGACGTCGGCCTCCTAAGCCGAAGGTTGCGGGTTCGAGTCCCGTCGGGGGTGCCATCTTTTTTTTTACTTTATTTTTTTTTTACTTTTTGTTACATGGTTAAGGTTCTTAAAATATTGTCTAATCTTATACTGATATAATTGTCAAAGCAGGTTTGGAAATTTTGTACTTTTTTAAATGGTTGTTCTTTGATTAATATTTGTGATTTTTTTTCAAGTTTAAACAATAAAACGTGTAATACTTTAAAAAAATATTTATAATCATGAAGAAAAAAGAAGAAGAAGAGAAAAAAGAAAAGTAGAAAAAAGATTTATCGCTGCGAGCAGGATTCGAACCTGCGCGGGGAAACCCCATTGGATTTCGAGTCCAACGCCTTAACCACTCGGCCATCGCAGCAACACGTGATCTGAWGGTTGCATTTTGCGTATTTGAAGACTTTCTTTGATTTTCTCTGATATTATTGATGTTTTTCAAGTAAATTTGTGAAATTGAACGTTTAAAGAATTGATATAATTATATCAGAAGTATATGGATTTTAAGTATGCGAGCTCAATACGCATAATTCATTTTCTGTTATTATTACAAAAAGCTAGGAAGGGAAGGYGAGAAGTCKTCTTTTTGAACCCCACTACTCTTTCGGCTCCATTTTGGAGCAATGAAATAGCGTCTGAAGAATTTTATCACCGCGTCAATGATCTTCCGTTTATAAGAGTATAGTTTGTCTAGCGTTTTCCGCAGGGTATCCGTTGGATAAGGTATTGAATTTGACATCCTTTGGTAATATCAGCCTCATGCGCAGCTGGTCGATATGCCAGTTTTGTCGCGTTTCGAGAGAGTAGTATAGCTTSACCGTGGCAGGCATGAGTTATAAACTGATTTACAACGGTGAAATGATTTAAACGTTTGCATTTACTTTGTATTTTAATTTAGTATAAACATACTAATGGTCTATCACTCATACTGCGCTTTGATTGGCTACTCTACTAATGGTCTAATTTGTGATAGACCACTCGCGGGAAAATCAAAATAAATGAATTATAAATTATAAATTATTTTAAGGATATTTCAATTTATTTTCATTATTTGACCGATTAGTATGTTTATACTAAAACAATTAGACCTCTCGGCCTCGTGGACTATTGAGCTAATAGCCCATTCGGCCTCGCAGACTCGGCCTCATGGGCTATTAGCTCGTAGTCCACTCGACCTCGAGGTCTAATTGTTAAATAGTCCATTTACAGGTATAGACCACATGGCATAGGCTCACTTAATCGGCCATAGAAACGATTCGTGTGTTCATGGCAACGAATTATTTTGTACATCGTATTGACTAAAGCGTTTTTGCTCTGATCCTGAGCAACACCCTTAAGTTGCCAATTTCATACATTATTAGACCGGTTCTCTGAAGAAATGATGTCAGTTCATGCAGTTCTGTGGAAAAATCTGCAGTTTACGAAGCGACCTTTTCTGGTTTTCAGTCACTATTATCAGTAGTTTCTTTATATTTCAGTGAGACGAACAACCACTAAATAAGAAAATAAACACTACCTCTGACATTACCTTACACCAATCAATTCTATACTTTTTAATATTTTATTAAATAACTATATATTTCGTTTTCTTAGAAAATGTCTCATTATTGTCGTTTCTCGTTTTCCCGTTTTTCTGCAATTTTTTTTACAATCTCTTGTTAAGAAAACACAGTCTATGCAGTCGTCGGGGCTTTGACACTGTGAAAAACAAGCTCTATTATATTCTTCACATTTCATCACGCAGTGACTCGTTCCTTGAGCTGTTGTTGTTTGGTATCTTGTTGTCATGACGACCAGCAAAATGGCTATGTGAACTATGGTATTCATCTGTTGAGAGAGCATGACTGGAGTTTAATCATTGATGGATGGTATATGAAATGTTTATTACTTTCAAAGAACTATACACCCTTTTAATAAGTCCCGAGGTATTGTGTTCTCCGCACTTGACGTCAAATTTATTCTTTTGAATTCTTTTTCAAAAGAATAAATGTGCACAGAACTCAATATCTCGGATAGCTGGCCTTATAGGGTGCGATGGATGAGATTTATAGGAATTAGAATAAGATCAATAAATGAATATTACATTACTGCATACAGTGCGAATGTCATCTATACCTCCATGGTAAKAGCAATACTTGAATACTGCGATACAGTGTGGGGGTACATCAAYAATAATGCCTTAGAAGCTAGCCCTATAGAGACGTGTAGGACGTATTGTAGACAGAGCGTCAAGTGGCGAGAAGAACACTTATGAACTGAAGTGGCCATCCTTAAAATACAGACGTTCTAGAGACACTTTTAACTTAGTTAAAAGATGTATTAAAGGACACTGCCCTCAGTTTTTTGAGAATTATTTTATTTGTAACAATAAGCTTCACTCGTAATATTCGCCAAAAGAATTTAATTCATTTACCTGCAGTAAGAACAGAAGTTGCAAAACGTTATTTTTATTATCAAGGCTCCATGATTTATAATAAATTCTCTTCAAAGTGATTATATTTATATATATATTTATCTATGGATTCAAATATAGATTTAATTGTAGTCTTTTTGATCGATATTATCAATATTTAATTAATGTCTTTATCAATTCCTATATAATCGTTTTACATGTATATATATTCGTTCGTAGACGTATTATTTTAGTATTATTGTAGGTTATACTCAGGGCTCCCATTGATAGCAAGTAGCCCTTTGGCTTCTACCGGGACTATACCCTGAGTTATAAGGATTAATTTTAAATAAAGGTATCTATCTATATGCTTCACTTTTTAAAATCTCATTGTACACAGCCATATTTATGTTCAAATTCTAGATTCGGCTGACGATAGCTCGGTTTCAACAATAAACTACACAGAAGAATCTACAATTTGAACACAGAGATCGAGACTAACATGATTTGTGGCGTTGTGGAAGCCATCTTGAATCGCAAGGCATTATGGGGCGCCGTGTGGGAAGGGGAAACAAAAATAATTGTCATATATATTTTCCCTCTGTCAAAAATGGCCGACATCTACTTGTGATTGTGAAAACGCATCTTCAATTTGGTTTATAGAGAACATTTTGTCAGTTTTGCCTTGATTTTTTTTTACTGGTTTATTTTTTCCCCGATACTCCTCTTTTCAGTTCAAAGCAGTCAATAGCCGAAGTGGAAAAGGATTTCTCTTCGATTTTTTTTAGATATTTTTTGTGTTCCAAAAAATTCAATAACAAGATTTGTTTTTGGCCTGGTTTCAGCCTTTCATACCCAGTACGAAATCTGTTTATCAAAACAATCKATCTCTTTTACGTCATAAGTGTTCGTCGCTATCAGTTATTTCCCAATTCATTTACAGTGATATATATACAGCCTCACCAGAGGCCTATTGACTACACAATTAGCCAAAACTGATTTCAGATAAGCACAGGAAAATATTCTGTACATAGAAGAGTGCTTTTGCATTTCAAATTTGTCAAAGTATGTATGTATATGATCCCAGGAACGCTTTTTTGGTTAGTTTGAAGAACTCGCTAAAAACTGTCTTTATTTTTTATGTTTTCATAATAAGAATGTTTTCAGGAAATTTGCATTATGATAGACATTTTTCAGTGCCGGTTCATCCAAAAAATCGTTCTCCAGGCGGCCGTTAAAATCACAGTAAAATGATGGCGGGGAATTCTACTATTTCATATGCAAAAGCTTTTTTCTAATGTCAATAGAGAACCGTTATTTTCATTGATAATGACGTTGATAAAACTATAAGCTACTGTACCGTCGTTTGAAGCTATGCTAAATTTTATAGACGTAAAGCTGTCTGAATGTTTCTCTGAAAGCTGACTATACGATTTGTAAGCCGACGTTTCAACTTTAATCTGTTGTACAAACACGTCTTATGAGTCATCTAATATTCTAATTAAGGCACGCTTTCTWCCAATTTCCTTTGSTTGSTTGCTTCTAACTAATTACCCATTTTCCCTTAAATTGTTTGCCTGATGGATTTTCTCGTTTTTCTAATRGAATGTCTACYCAGTTACGATACCTGTCATTGTATTCCAGTCTKTATTTTGTAGCTGTACTCCGAAGTGATAACTTAAACACTAGAAATGGTCAGGCTATTTCAGCTCAAACAGGATTCTATTGCTTACTCCRGGTTGTTTAACCGGAACAACAATTAAATCGTGTTTAGTAAAAATTGTTGTTTCTCATTTCCTTTTTGTGGTTATGTATCAATATAGCGTGGAAACTGAGCATATTTCGTGCTTTCTAGAAACGGCTTATTTTAACGTAATTATTTCGATTCGTTGCGCATTGATTTGGGATTTTATCCATTCATTTCCATCCACTTATCAATGCRCGCATCTGGATCCATTTGCAGTACAATACACAATACTGGATTTTACTTGTTCACAATTCGTACTTGAGTAAACTTAATTCCAAATATAAACAAACTATGAACATAAGTGAGAATAATGACTTGCCAAGAAGACCTTTCAAAAGGTGACGTTTTTAAAGAGCATGTGGAACTCTTTCAAGATTACTTAACTATAGCCTATTTCAAAAGAAGCTACCATCAAAGAGATTGGCAATCGGCAAGACCAAAAGTAAGTTCACTGCCTGTTGATGGTCAATGCCCATGGCCAATGTTCACTCATTTGCCGAAAAATACGGACAAACTAAACAAGACATTAGTGAGAAAAACAGTATTAACTGCCTTTGAATCTTATTGTCATAAATAATCAACACCCACACTAACTTTGGGTGACGCATTCTTTAACTATCTTGTCGTGTTGTAGAAAAAGATCTATATGAGGGGCCATTCCAGCACTTAGCAACTAAATATGTAAATGATTTCCTTAACTATGCTCTAACAGTTCAGTTTTGGCATTTTTAACTTCTATTGAATTGTATGAGGTTTTCCTGTTTTGAGACCATTTTTTATGAATTTTGGAGCGGCCTGCCGTGCCACCGTATAAACACCGATAAAGTAGTAATAATAAGAATTCTTTTGTCGTTGAGTATGATTCCCTTCATATATCTATATATTCATTTAAAGCCAGCAATTTAGATTTTCAATCGTAATCATAAATAGGTTGTTATCGATTTCTTATTTTCATACATTCAGGTCCATTTCATTCACATCAATTTCCTTGATGAAGCTACAATACAAACACATTAAAGTGTGAAGCCATAATTCAATCTAGATGAAAGATGTTTACAGTATTAAAAGGGCACGCCTTTTTAAACCCATGCTGATCACGTTTTCATTGAAATATTGTTTACAAAACAAAGAACATCATACTCTGATAAGGTTGATTATATCTTACTTACACTAATGGTTCTTTACAACTCTTTTATGAAGTGGCACAAACCTGAGGTTCTCAATGAGAGTTCGTCTTATATCTGTGAGCTTGTATCTCAGGCAGACTCTAACGAGTAGAGCCTCAAATTTGAGAGTGTGGCAGTGATGTCATGAACAAGCCGTATTTATAGCAAGGGTACACCAACGCTCTGACATGCGTATTAATGGCACCACCAAACCCTCGTGTATTGTGGCCGTTGCTTTCCGTATCCGGAACTGACTGCTTTGTTCACTCTCAGCCTGTATTCATAGATTACTCTGATAAACTAAATAACAGCTTTACTGACTTCAACCAATTGCTTCAACTTCCCTTGCGTTTACTCATGGCTTGTAGCTCACCACCGAAATGTAAAATTGCACGACTATAGCCTTGAGCAAGGCTTGTTTTATTGTATAATAGAGACATGTTTAGAAATATAAATAGGTGCTCAACATAACAGGAAAGAAAGTTTGAGTCATGGCTAATTCATGAGTGTTATCAAAGTACTTTATCAAAGTACAGATGTCTTGTAGRTCTGCCTTTGTTTTACAAGTACGCAACTATTACGAACTCGTTATTTTAATGCTGATTTCTTCTTGTTTTTATACTAAACTAATAGTTCATCATTTTTCTATTTGAACGCTAATGATTATTTGATTTTGTCAAAGAAAAAGAAGTTCGAATGGTTCTAAGGAACAACTTGTCACAACTATCATGGCGACATCTTGATAAACGGGCCCAAAATTATGTTATCAGTGCAAGAGATTGGCCATTCCGGTCGATTTGCGCTTGACTAGAACTCGAAACTAATCGAAGACACTATATTTGGCAAAAGCAATGATAGTATGTTTCTAATTATGATATTATGAACTAATATGATGAACACATTATCGATGCTCCCACTTAGTTTTACCATTGCACAAACCCTCGACCAATATGTATAATTTTAAGAGTGATGTCTGTAATTTGGCTCTCGGCGATGTGTGAAATCCGAAACTCGTGAAAAAGCCTACGGAGTACCAGGTTTTGGGGAGGTTGYCCTCTATTTCAAAATTGAATGTTATGATAAGAATCATTCTTTACTACGTGGTTAGTGAATGAGAAAAACAAAACAGCTCGTCAACATTGATAATACAAGTATTTTATAAGTAAACAATATAATATATTTAATAAAAATAGAAATTATCTTTAAAAACCTAGTTGATATGTTTTATCTTTGTCTTACGGACTCGATGAGAAAAAAAAAGGCCAGCGCGTTGTACTTCTTAATCAATTCTCCTTGCCTTAATTCTTTTAATGAATTTTTCATCCTCATAAAGCAATGCTTTATTAGACCCTGACAAAAGAAAACCTTAATTAGACGCGCGGCACATCACATCAAAAACTCGTTGAAGAACGACATATTCCAAACATTAGTCTTATCTTATGCTCTGTACGACTGGAACTAAATCTTGAGTATTTCCTCTGAGTCTTTCATGCTGGTTGAGAACTGAACCGCTTCGTTTGGGTCGTGTAAACTTGAACACTTGATCTATATGTGCCAAGTATCGGGTCTTATCGTTCCTCCATTGATTTAGCGATCTGAGAGTTATCGCAATCTTCAGGTCAGTTCCGGGCTGTATATTCACCATCTGCAGYTCTTGAAACCAAGATATCTTACGCTCTTTTAGTCGAGGTTTAGTCAAGAAGGGCGAGGCATTTGATACTAATAACAGTTAATATTATCTATTAACCAATGGCATGGAGCCACGTTCTCCAAAACTGGACTGACTCAACACAATCTACCTCTTTTTCAAGAACTTTGCTGTGTAGAAATCGGTAAAACTGCTGCTCTTTTTGATAATGTTTTGTGTTTTGAGTTTTGAGAGGAAAAGAAAAAAGCAAAACATACTATCCGAGGTATATTTGATCACTTGAGATTTGACTTGGTGAAAAACTGAGAAATTAGTTATTGGAATAAAAAAAAAACAGTGACCTACCTCAGCGTGTGTAAGATGTGAAGCTCACGAATTGTCCGTGCTCAAAGAACTATGTAACTCTACATTTATTGAATTAATAACTTATTGAAATTGAAAATCATCGTTTGCTGATTACTGTTAATTAACTGTTCTTTGTAGTTTGGAAATTTATACGTGCTTGTTGTGTTTTTCATTGATTTAGGTTTTCAATGTGGTTCGTTACCTTCTAACTGGGTTCTCTGTGTGCTCACTCGGACACCTTTGTTGTTAGACTACTAATGCTGTTATTTGCAAGCGTCTTTGCTTCATCAACTGGATGGCTCTTCCACGCGTCGATATTAGGGTGACAAAAGCTTCAACACCGAACTACCCTTGTCAGGCTTCCGTCAAGCGGATGGCTTGACGCTTAGTGCACTGTTCAAAATTAAAAAATTAATAACTTCACTATCGCAACATTAATGTGAATTAGTACCGCCTTTTTGAGATTGGGGTTTTTAATCTTTTTTGTTTGCATGGTACAATATTTGCCTTTGAAATTCACGTTAGTTCTGATTAATCCCACCAAACAAGCGCTGAATTCCATGTGGGATTAACTTCATTAAGAATATATGGCAAAACCTTTTAAAAAGTACAACTTAAGCTTCTTAGGAGCTTTGTGCTCTTTTGTTGTCTCGTTATGTTACGAGTGCTAAACTCCACGACGTCCACAATAATCATGTTTGTTGAGTAATATTTATCCTTTCTTACAGCGAGTGGATTTAAAGCTTTAGGTTTTTTAGGTCATGGATGATTGTTTATTGATCATAATTGTAAAATAAAGCTTTAAAGTGCCATTTAAAGTTAACAGTAGAAGTTTTAGGGTTTAAAATGGTCATTTCGAAAATGCGTCGGCTTCAACCGCGTGGGATAAATCCGCGTCAATGCGTTCTAAAGCTGACGTAGTTCTTTTCTAACTATCTAAAGTGCGCACGCGGTGTACAGGAATTGCTTGATCTTAAAAGAAAAAAAAAATCTTTAAAAAATCTGTCGAATATAAAGCTGCATGGGTCGTTGAATTATTTTATTTGCAATTCTTACATCTTGTTGCTATGTTTTTAAAATCCAATAAACATCTATTGTGTTTTTTTGTTAAAAACTACTGCGCGCGCTCTGCAGACATCGCGCTGTGTCGCTTACGCATTTCAACAAAAACTCCAACCGCTTTCAGTTTAATAAATGCAAAACATGGCTTCTAGAAGTTGCAGTTTACGGACAAAGTTTGAACAAGAGAAAGGTCTTGGCCAGGAAACGATCACCTGTCTTTGTAGTCCTGGAAACCAAAATGATCAACCAAGCCTTGATACAAGAGAGGGAATCGTCCAAGAGATTCAACGCATTCTTGACGATGATAAAAAACCTTTCCGATATCTCCGAAGACAAAGCAATCGTTTCAAAAGACCAAAACTTTCCGAGGTAAAATCAGCTTTCATGCATTAGGTTTTTATACTCGTTAGTTGGACGAATGATTTTATATGATCTTACTTCAGTTGCTTGATAAAAAAAGACTAAAAAATTCTGCGATCATTTTGTGAGAAAAACTAGTACTTTTTCAGTAAAGATTCATTGTTTTAAGAAACTTGTAAAACCTATTTTTTGTTTTTATTTAGATTTTGTTTTCTCAAAAATCTCGTTGACATCATAAAGAAAACCGCTAATGAGTCTTTTTATTTTTATTATCATTTTTATCTCATATTTGATGTTTTCTGCTTGACTCAAATTGCTAAAAAAGCGTTCAAATGCTAAAGAACAATTTCGGTTCATGGAAAGTGAATATCCTGGCGGTTAGTTTCAAAGACATTTTGTTGTTGCTTATACCAGTGAACTACTGATTTCATATAGATTCATAATAAATACTTCCTCAATTAACGGTTCATTATAAATATCACGCGAAGGAAAAACAGACTTTACTTTCTCGGTTCCATTTCATGCCATTTTAAAAATGTCTCTTTTCAAGAAATGTCGACTGATCGATAAATCGCTTACAAATTATTAGTGGCAAATACTTATAGACTGATATAAGCCTTACTCTATGTCTTATACATCTACATCTTTCTAAAACCGTTAAAATTACATGTTAGATCACGTGACTTTAGTTATAGCAAACTGTACTTTTATAAAATGAACTCAATATTAATCATTTCCCGTGACTCCACATGTCCATTTACTATAGTAACTGCGTCAAACGGAACCGGTTTTAAACCTAAATGAATGGTCCCATTTAGTGCGTAAAGGACAAAATATGCGATCTTTTTGTTGTGGAGTTTGAAGGTTCTTGTCTCACTTGGGTGCAACGAATTCACAGTTATAACAGGCACGACATGGAAGCAGGCTCACGTTTTTACATAGTTGAGMAGAATTATGTAGAACGCGCTAAAAAAAGGGTTATATTGGGATATTGATTATTCATGAGCGAATTATTCACCCCTCAACGATCCCCCCTACCTCCCTCCCCCTTTACCTCCTTGATAATTTCTGAAACTTAAACACTTCTTAAACAGCATCCTACAAGTAATTTAACACATTGATATATGATTGCAGGTTTGTGACATCAGCTCGCCAGTCACTCTCTTGACTATGAAGACTCACAATGGAAAAGATTTCACTCTGTTTTCACCCCGAAAAGACTGCAAACGAAAACGAGATGACGATTCTGGAACGGTACATTAAACTGTGTAAATTGAACTAAAGTTAATATTAGTTATAAAATAAAAAGTAAATTTCAAAAAGGAGATTTKTTCATTTGATTCCTGATTCTGATTTGCAATTATTTAGATGACATTAGTATCTAATTATTATTACAATCAGCAAAAAATGATTTTTCATATTCATTTTCAAAAATGATTTATACATCTGCTACTAAGTATAGCCATCATATGTTATCGTTTATATTTCAATTTAAGTCAATGCAAAAAAATATCCAATTGCTGATTAATAAAAYGAATCCATCGAATCTTCATTCTGAAAGAGAAATAATTGTATTAGTAGATCACGAAAAGTACGGAACCATCTTGAATCCATAGTGTTATGGTAATAAAAACTCCGTAGTATAGCTATTTCAAGCCTGCACACGTYTGCATTTCCAGGCGGTACTYAACAAAATATTCATACTTGACTCATGGATTGTACTTATTCAAAACTCGTCCTGAGTTTTTCATTAACAATTAGACGACGAGTTGAGGTCGAAGACTACGAATATCCACCAAACTAGGTTATGTTTGACAAAGGGACGAACACTATTTTTCACATCACTGGATGTGACCATGCTATAACATAAATATACTATACTTCTGCWGCCAATCAAAATGCTGAATTGTAATAGTCCATAGTTTGGTGGATACTAGTTGCATTTAAGCGTTTTGTTTCTCCTATGTCGGAATCTACGCCTTGCAATGTAGAAATCTCATTCAAAGYTTATACTAAGCCTTTTCACAGGTTAACAGAATAGCTCATTAAGGATGCGTACGTCGGGCATTACTTGATTTATCATTGGTTTCTTTATCTTTGTACTTGTTATGGTTATTTTACTACTGTCGTCGTGTGCAGTCATATTGAGCTATGCGGTTACACTGTGAAAATCCTTATTTCATTTCTATTGCATAAAGACATTACCATGTGTAAGACTGACACGGTACCCTATYGTTGCACCACTCGTATTCTCGTGAATGCCCGACGCAATATCGATCACCTTTTCCCCTGTTGATACAAGTTCGTGTTCTCTTTCGATACCCATACTTCATGCAGGTCTTAGAACACGGACCCCAGTTGCTCCACGGGGTCCAGAAGGGAACAACAGAAGCTATTAAAACAGACGATAAAACAAATTAGATCTAAATGCTAGGTGATGATAGAATGGCGCCATTTTCCAGAACAAAGTATCATGCTAAGCTGCAATCGTTGTCAAAATGCTTGGATTATTCACGTGAATTTCCTTATTTCAAGCAAAACTAGCAGATTCATGCCCCCTAACCTCCTGAATGAAATGTTGTCATTGAGCATGTTACCATGGTACAAAACTATCCAAAACAAGTCCAAACATTGATAAAAGGGAGTTATAGAGGGCATAATTGGGAGAAAATGAAAATAGAAAGGTGTTTTATTCAAAATATCAKGGATACCRGTTGGACATGGTGTGCTGCATCTMTGCGTCTCTCTYCGTGACCCTTTACACGGTGGACCACCACAGTACGGTTTGGGGCTGTTRCACAAACGTGTTCTTTCTCTCTTTCCTGAACCTACTCCATTGACGGAGCACTTTGTCTCGCTGCAAGAACTCCATGCTGACCATTTACCCCAAAAACCCGCCCCTACATATGAATAGCAGAAAAGAAATTAGTGTTATTTCACAAAACATATATATGATTTCATCACCTACATGATKTAGTTATACAGCGGAAAAGTAACTGAGAATTTAGCAGTCACTTAGTTAAACCAAGACAACCCAAGCTAAGAATTTGATTAATTGATTTCGCGATATCAATAATGTATGTAAATTGTAGCTTTTGAATGCAAAAAAGTAAGAAACATTTTTCTTATCCCGTGATGTAGTTTTTCGTTCTGAAAATATCACTCAGTGATATGATTATAGAGGTAGAGATATCAAGAAAAACGGCAAATTAATCATTTTCATTCAAAAATGTCAATATTGATTAGCATACATTATCACCTAGTAAATGCTTAGCTTGGGTTGCCTGTGGATAACCGTTTTGGGCAACCTATATGACGTCATATGTAGCCTTTATGATSGTGCGCGCGCCGTTGTAATCGAACTACAAACCTGGACAACAGCCTGCGTAACACGTTTTGACTTGTTCACTGCTCCCGTTGCAAGGTTTACCACCGCTTTGTGGGTATGGATTTGAACACTGACGTGACCTCCTTGCTTTACCCTCACCACACGATGACTGGCAAGAACTCCATTTGGACCACGTGCTCCATCCACCATCAACTAAAACATAATTTTGCTATAATTCATTATCAATGTATAGAAGTTCAATKCTTTTATCCATACTATGCATTCAATTTATATTTGCCTTGTTTTCAACATTGACGGAAGTGGGTTGCCTGTGTTGGATGTATTGGGTCGGCTGTGTTATCGACTGAATGGGTCCAGTTTATTTGGGTCAGCCGTGTTTGTGTACCGTTTATAACAGATTTGTGTATAGGTCAATTTTGCAGAAATATTATTTATTTAAAATATATAATTTAGCACGAGAGCATTAGTCCATGCAGACATCATTGGACTATCAATTGTAGTTCATRGTACAATTTTACCATAAACGCGCTTACCTTTAAAACAGGATATACCCCAGTTACAGGACTGATACTCAGTAGTATAACCTTTACAATACGTGCCACCGTTCGCTCTATGACAAACCCGTGTTCTTTTTCTATAACCGTTGCTACAAGTCTTTGAGCATGTACCCCAGTAACTCCATTCATCCCAATATGGCAGTGTTGGCTTAGGCTTCGTGTTGTCCGCTAATAAAAACACAGACCTTTATATTTACATTCTAAAACTCATGAATTATTTATAGACATTCTTCCAATGAGCATTCAACTATGGGTCACATGACAGAACCTATAGCTCAAGTTACAAATACTGATTAATTAAACATGAGTTTTATAACWAACCGGTTCAGTTAGTTATAACACTCATGCATAAAACATCAGTGTTGTAACTGATTTACAGACACTCGATRTGTGCCCAACACTAGAAAAGTTCTCAGTTTTCGGCCTCGTGTTTATATCTCACGATAAAACACAAACTAAGAGTGGTGAATTGGTGAATGAATTGGTCGTGTGCTGGATTTGAACATTTATAACAGCAATAACGACTTGAATAAAGCAGGTCAGGAAGTATCGATGTTTAAGGACCAAACCCTTAATCAAAAATGCCAAATAGTACATTATAATCTTAAAAGGAAATGACTGAAAAGCGCTCATATCGCACTTATTACGCATGCTCGTAAAACGAGCCTATCCCACATGGCTTAGTGCCTCATCTCATATCCTGCTAAATAATGACTTAAGGAATAAAAGACGAAATTCCGTGTTTGATACTCTGATCAAAACACGCGGGATGTAGGGAGAGCACGAGAGAAGCGTAGGAAACCACGACGCGTAGCGGAGTGGTTTCCAGCTTTTCGAGTGCTCTCCCTACATCCCAAGTGTTTTGATCAGAGTATCAAACACGGAATTTCGTCTTTTATTTCTTTTCTAAAATTAAAAGAATACGAAAATTGTAAAGAATTCTGACTTTTGATACGATATGAAACGAGCGTGTTTTGATACTGTAATCAAACATGGTTTTCGACCAATCACAGCGCGCGTAGTATCCTAAATATTTTAGAATGTTTTATCAATAACAGCTTACAATGTACTTTAGTGATTGTTGGCGAAGACAAAGAAACAACTTGACTACTTTAAACAAGTCATTATTGAATAGGTACTCGTTATTGTATCATTCTTGTTCGTTATTAGTCGTTATTAGTAGTTATTGGACTATGTGTAAGTTATGGTACTTACCAGTACAACAAGATTTTTCGCACATTTCAGATGGTGTTGTAAAAGGACTTGYTGTCGCCCTCACAAAACATTTGCCTTGTTTAGCAATGGAGGTACAATTGTCCATTTTGTCGACATATGGTCCTGAAATCAACAACACATTATGGGTTAAATTAATGGWAGAAAGCGACCATTGATTGATATAATCACAGCTTGGRTGTCCGCTGGACGCATGSACCGTCAAGTCTTTAGCTGTCCTATGTCTSTATACTACGAACGTTTAAGTTTTCAGTCACGTGAACAAGTATTGGCTGTTCAACAAATGACGTCAAACATTGCATGGGATTCTATATCCATAGTTACGTCTGACTTTTATGTACACTGTGCGAAAAAAAAAATTTTTTTTATTTACCGCGGTCAGACAAGAGAACAAAAGAAATACTGGTTTAGTTGGATGGAYGGTTGACTTCAAACTCTGGCATTCCGACATCCCAACTTCATTATCAACATCATGCACCATGGCGTTTCAACAAACAAATGTTGAACTGCCCAACTATGAGTTTGAGTCATTCAGCATTTTTCGTTGATCAGAGCTAATCTAAGCTAGCGTCAAACCGCAGTTTCTCACATGGTTCTGAGTGAACATTTGTGTCAGTAAACAAGAAGAGTACAGTAATTAAGGAAGTGCTGCAATCGGATAGTGCTTTTCAAGTTGTATCATTATGTTGTRTAGGGGTGAAAACGCCCCACCACCTAAAACGTTTTTGTTCCGAACAAAAGAAGAAGAATTGGCAGTTTATGTGAGAGACGGTGTATGAAAAAAATTGAAATTAAGCGTGGAGTGAAGAAGAAGTAGTGTCAATTAACTCCGAGTCAGAAGGAAGCGTGTGKTTCGTGTTCGGATAAGGACCAGCTATCTTCAGTTATGGAAGTTACTTATCTAAGATGATATCAGGCGTGTAGCTTGGACTTTTTGGCTAGTACGCACATTTCAGGGACCGCCACACATATTTTGGATCTAGGGGTCTAACGACCTCCAATTTTGAAATAATAACTCTTGGAAATGCGATTTCCAGCGTTTTCAGAGACATCGAGGGCATATAAAAAGARACATTTTTATGTGAATTTTTCATTTTTTGTAAAATATTTTAGTGTTTCCACTAGTACGCACATGCCTATAGGACGCTCCTGGATACCTACCACAGCCTGTGCATGTCTTGTAGCAAACCCCGCTAAGGAAACCGAAGTTACACTTRTTGTCATTCTTGATTTTCAAGCACCTTTTACAATCCCAGAAGTCTTTGCACATCATTGCGTTCAAAGCTAAGAAATTAAAACAAATTTTAAATTAAAAGAAATCAAACTGTATTGGATTTGATGTGATAATTAGAAAGTAATGAGGATTACAAGTAGATAACCACATGAATTCCTAAATTGCCGTAAATCATGTAYGTAAATATTGATATTAGCTATGCAGGAAAGTGTGACACACTTTACTAGTACTCTTTCTTTTATGTCAATTTGGACAAGTTTCTAAAGATTTTATACAGCTTAAGTCAAGCTTTTATTGTTCCACGTAGACCTACATAAAATTCAATAGGCTATCGAGCCTGCATTTTAATCTTTTAATCTTAACCATTTATTTTTTGTTGTTGTTGTTGTTGTTGATGTTGTTGTTATTGTCTTGTTTTCATTGGTTTTCCAGGGGGTTTTAAAATTACTTAGGTCTATAAGTAGCTGCATCCAGATGCAATTTGGAGACCAAAATCTTTGCAAAGTAAATTGAATAGGAGTGCTGTGTCGGGTATTTRCGAGAAAACATATCAAACCTGTATAATTGGTCCTTGCTTGTAGGGATACAAGTGAGATGAAGAAAATGACGACAAATACAATAGTTCTCATTGTGCTGAATTGATCAAGTCGAGTAAAGAAGCCGCGCCACCTTGGAACAAATGTACACTYCTCGAGCCAAGCTAGTGTTCTTTATACAAGACGCCCTCATATTGTTACCTTAGTTACAGACACAAGAGGTTGTAACGTAGCAACCACCGCCATAGCAACTTCAACAATTCAATGCATCATAAAACTTGTGTTTTTACACTAAAACGAACTAGTAATGCTCATTGTTTGACTTGTTGTTTTTATGGGTTGCAATAGAAGTAGTTTTTTTTACTATTTTCSAGATTCTAAAGGAGCAGAAAAACCTAAAAACGGTCTTCATTTTAGTGAAAGATTGATGACAGTAGTTTGCCCATTAGATGACAATRATCAATTAAAATCTTAACCAATATACTTAATGCAAGTTACCTCGTTGACATGTGGGAACTAATTTTAGATACCCAGGTTACTTATAGCTTCATAATATTGTTTTTTTTATGCTTAGATTTTTTTTATGCTTAGTATCGCCAGTACATGCTACATTTTACCATTAATGATGGTCAATGTGTATCGGCGCCATTTTCTACAGTTGTAGTCCTCATACTTTTTTATGTCCCTGAAAAGCAGTCCTCTTAACCAGTTTTTTTCTTTTTTCTAAGCGAGAATAGAAGTATTTGTGTCGTTTCTAAAAAGAAATGCAAAAMCTACTTTTGAGGAGATATTTTAGGGTCTGTGAAAAGCGCGAGGACTACAACTACCATCATGCTTTGCTGCAAAAAATGGCGTCGCTGTACATTGCTTATTGATAGAAAACTAGTCGATTTTCACTCAAGATAACTTGAGCTTGTAAAATTTCCAAATTCTTTAGCGCAAGCCGACACACCTGAAAAAAGTTAGAAATAGCTTTGATTTTCGAGTGSCAGTCGCAATAATGCTGCACTGATATAAGAGCATAATGCACTAAAAACTATGGCCTATAAAATCACAAGAATAACATCTGCTATCTTTGAAATATTGGAGCGGCTCAAAATGTCCTAAACTCAGCTCTAACCCACTCCCACTCGGTCCATTTTGATCTTCTCTAACATTAACACAGGAATCCCAAATTACATCCATGACTGACGTCATTTGTCACGCATGTGTTCCGTTTGGGGACCTCGACGTTGATTAACGAGGTCAGTTAGAAATGAAAGTACAAACTACTCTTCTCTTCGTGTTTACCACGATCAGCCAAATATGTTTGGGAGCAAAGATCGCTTTTTTACCACAATTTGGACGAAGCCATACTCTTGTAATGCAGAAACTRGCGAATGGACTTCAAGCTCGAGGACAYAAGGTAACGCAGAACAACAAGCGTCAAGCTTACAAAMATACATACACAAATAAGAATAAGGATATTTCTAGATGAAGATACACTCATGAGCTTCTAAAAGTTTTACTACTCGCTGTTGCTAGTTAACCTGTTTCAATGTACTTACTGTACATGGATCGCATGCACAATCGGTCTTATATTCGGTTTATAAAGTGACAACAAAACTAAACAGTGCCGATAAAGCTTCAGTATTTATTTATATTAGCTTAATTTCTTGATCATGTTTTTCGGTTCCATTCTTTCATAGTTGATAGTAGATCACATAGTAGAGTCCCCTCTACAAACTATGGTTCGATCTAAAAAGAACTTAATTTGAGTGCACTGCTCAGTGATATTGCAAACCGTCACGAAATAACTGACCTGATATTTCAATACATAGCAGGCGAAACTGYTTCTTGATAACTTGCCGACGTTTTCAGATGGAAACCAGTTTTAGAAAATACTACGAGTCTGAGCTCAGTCAAGGCAAACTTCTTTCACTCAAAAAGCGCTGTTTTTTTTGTCCTGAAGCGTCACGCTGACATGCCGTATGATAAAGAAGTCGTGTGAATACGTACGTAGCTGTTAAAAAAAGTCACTGTTCTTTTTTAATCTCAATGTGCACATTAGACTTGGCTAGTCAGTGGCGGATTTAGGGGAGGGGCCTGGGGGGACCGGTACCTCCCCCCACAACAACAAGTGAATTAGCTAGTTTCCTAATTAATTCACTAATTTTAGTGGAAAATTTCTATTTGATACGTTCTCCAAACTAACCCGTCATGCAAATTTCCTGCCAAAAGTTCGCGCCATTTTAGTGCCCCCCCCTCCCTTCTAATAATCCTGGATCAGCCCCTGCTAGTGACACAATTTCAAGATTTCTATGTCCTCACGTCGTGTTTAATTCACAGGTTACGATCATAGTTGGCGGTGAAGCGACGTACGCGTCCAACAATCCCAATGCCAAGCTCTTCAAGGTTACTGACGAGTTCTTAGAACAACACAAGGTTGAAATGGATATGATGAAGTCTGACTTTACTCTTCTGAACGATATGCCAGCATATGCTGGAATTATATGGCTGACTTGGAAACAAACTTGGTATTGTGATTTGATGCTAAGTGATCAGATCATTGTAGACGAGTTAAAAACAGCCGATATCATCATTGGTGATACTCTATATCCTTGCTCTTATCTCGTAGCTGACATGCTCAGTGTACCTCATGTTGGTGTTCACATGATAAGACACATTGGGATATTACATGGAATTACAAACTACCCATCGTATATTCCACAATACGGATCCCTCGTGCCTACCAGCATGAGATTTCTAGACAGATTAACCAATTTKAAAGTCTATTTACAAAACTTGTATGTCAGAGAGGTGTATGTTTTTCCTGGGTTCGAGAAAATCAAGATTAAAYACAATATTAAACCACAGAAGAGTATCAARGAAACCATGGCAACGATTGATTTGATATTGTTGGAAAAGGACTTCACTGTGCAGTATCCACAGCCTGTACCCCCCTGTAAGTACCTGCATCAACTTTTATGTGCGATGTCGTGAAATCTTCTACTCCCCTCTAAAAGATACTAAAACTCTCTCTGAAAAGGCGTGACTTTGTAGATTTTATCATTAATGAGATTAAGAAAAAAAACAGAAAAATATACTGTGACCTAACAAAGATCTATACACCATAATACATTTCATTTCCAAGCCAAAAAGTCTAAAAGGTACCAGATACCAAGAAATACATATTGATATCAAATAGATTCACTTTACCCTTAAAAGAGACGCAGAGAACATCCATGTTCCCCCCGGGACCCCTGTCACAGTGTGCAATACACAACTTCGCAATGCCATTGCGAGACTAATTATATAGCCACATATTAATCCCAAATAGGTAAAAGCTGGATTTTTCGTTAATTTTGGAATCCTGTCCAATTAAGAAATTAATTGGACAGGTTTTCAATTGGGTTTTTGTTAAAAGCTGTGGTTGGCTTTTACCTATTTGGGATCAATATGTGGCTATATAATTAATAGGTAATAAGACTCCATGCTGTCCAATTAAGAAATAATTAGACTCGAAAAATTCCTCTGACTGCCAAATTGGACTCGGCCACGGCCTCGTCCAATTTTTGGCAGTCCTCGGAATTTTCCTCGTCCAATTATTTCTTAATTGGACAGCATGGAGTCCTATTACATATAA